CTCAGTGCTGAGATATCACAGAACTAAAGCTATTTTTAGCATCAAACAGAAATGGTGCAGCTGCAAGGTTAAAAGACCAAAATCACAAGGTGGGCCTGATGGGTGGTTCACAAATATGGGTAGCTGACAAATATTTACACAGCTACGTGGCCTGTTATTTTGGCCCACAGTAAGGATCAGCCTGCAGCATCCACATTGACTAAAGCGAGCTCAAATTTGGGTCCAGAGCTGCATCCTTTCAGTGTAGATGCACAGCTGAGATGAGAAACAACTCCTGCATGACTTTTAGTCCTCGATTCATATTATTCCTTTCTGTAGGTGATTTAATTAATTTGCCTCTCCATTAACAACTATGCTCTGATTCCTATTATGTAGGTCAACTAATTAAGATATATAAAAATATTTCCCCAAGGTCATTTGTTTTGGGAACAATGAATGTGGGACAATTCCTTATATGTGAAGAGTTCAGATCATTTCAGAAGCAGCAAAATATTATAAATTGTGACTTTGGTGGTGATATATATTTCTAACAAAGATCATAGAATCATCAGGGTTGGAGGAGACCTCGAAGATCATCAAATCCAACCATTAACCTGCCACTCTAACCTGTTGTAACCCCTAAACCCTAAACCATATCCTCCAGCATCAGATCCAGACGCCTCTTAAACACTTCCCAGGATGGTGACTCCACCACCTCCGTGGGCAATCTATTCCACTGCCTGATCACCCTAACAGTGCAAAACATGATCACCCTTCATCTAGGTTGGATTTGCTTCCTCATTTTCTCTCTCTCATGTATGCTCCTATCACCTTCTATCATATGTTCATTCTGAATTTTGACTCTCTACAACCCCAGGTAGGGTAGTTGTAGAGAGCCATGAGGTCACCCCTGAGCCTCTTCTCAAGGCTAAACAAACCCAATTCCCTCAGCTGTTCTTGACATGTTCTAGGCCTAACAACATGTTTTCTAGACCTTAAGATGTGGTCGTTCTGCTCAAAACAACTTCCATAATAGTTTGAGCTAATCTGTTTGACATTGCAGCAGAACAGGATCAACAAGGCAGGCAATTACAATATCTTCACTAAGGGGCACTAGTTTTCAGATTGGATAGAGTATAGTACCTAAATCCCTTATGCTTCTCAAAGTTAGTTAGTTGGGGTTCATTTGCAGCCATGGAATGTTCAGCAAGAACAGTCCTTACTCTCTCCAGGCATTGCTCTCATTGGGAAAAAAATGAGTATATGTCATAGAAATCACAAGTTGTCGTGGTTTAACCCCAGCCAGCAGCCAAGAACCATGCAGCCTCTCACTCACTCCCCCACCAACGGGATGGGGGGAAAGTTAACTCTACTTCAGCTCAAACCAGCACATAAGTGTTTTCTCTATCAACTAACAAATATAAAATTCTGTTCAAACAAATGTTCTTACGTCCAGAATGATCTTCTATTCCACTTTTGGAGGTAAAGTACAGCAACTGACTCATTACTTAAACTTCACTTGAGCTGTTGCACAATCTCAGCTGAGAATACTTTTCAGTTGAAAAAGGCACTTTTAGCATGGCAAGAAATGAAGAAAAATTCCTCTTAAACACAATTGTGTAGGTGGAATGGAAGTTTCCTCTACTCAGCAGCTGACATGGTGTAATTTCTTTTGATTCCATAGCACTGAGATAATTTTGAGGTATTAAGATTAGATCAGTCTTAGAATTTCTTGTAGTGATTTCTAATTCAAACCTGGATGTGATATTTATTGCTAATTCTGTTTCTACTGGAACAGTGAGATTTTAATAATTTACTACCTACAAAGAAGATATCATTGCAAAAAAGTATTGTTATATTTTATTGACATTCAGAAATAGAAATTTCACAACACAGGACTAGACAGTGTGCTGGGAGAAGAAGATCTTTACCACACTGCTCATTTTTGCAAGCCAGTTTTTCACTCTCACTTTTCTTAAGTCCAGCTCTATCCAATGGTGATGTTTATTCTAAGTTTGTGTATCTGTTGCACTACACACAGGTTCATTTAGTCCTTTCTATTGTGTTTGAAGCCTTAGGTGTTAAAAGAGCCAGTATTTTCAGTTTAAGTAGATCTCTTTCTATATCAGATAATTTATAAGAGCAATGTTTAGGATTTTTTAAGGTAATTCATTAAATTCCACAATTCCTCTGAGTATTTTGCTCTTGCACACTCGTATTCTACTGTTTCAGTTGTTAAAAATGCAAACTTTTCATCTACTAGGCACTGTGAGTTTTTGTAGGGCAGATGTGGAGTACTCATGCAGAAGGGCCAGTTTTGCTGGCTCCACATCAGTCCTGCAGACGGGTTTCCTGCAGCACAATAATTCTGAAGCACCAGTTATGATTTATAGTGGAGTTCATTTCAGAAAAACTCACTGGTTTAATTCTATTTGATGGCTCCAGTTCCTCTTCTGGGAAAAGACTCCTTATCGGGACTGGCACCTGTGATAGCAAATCCTGGCACAGAAATGAGATCTGTGAATGACAGTGAGCCAATGAGTTTGTTAGCGAAGAAGCACTGCTATGGAAACAAAAATCCTGAATTAGTTTATGTTGCCATCTGAGCAGGATGCACAAATAGTAACTGTGTGAGCACAAAGCCATGGAGATTTAGCCAGAGGAGATATTAATAGGTTGTAGTAATCTCTAGATATTATTTCTGCTTAGTGTTTCATTATATTTGATAGGGTTTTTTAAGGTAGCACATGCCACACCAGAAAAACCCTCTGACACTACTCCTACCAGTATTATTGTGATACAGACCTGCAGAATGACATGACAGCTCTGGGGAGCTTGGCCAGCCATGCAGTTACATTTCCTTTTTCTTCTGTTATTGACAAAGAAGGAAGGAGGAAGAGTTATTGACATATAATGGCCTAGTACATGTCTGCTATATGGTTGCTGTGGTGAGAACCTTCCTGGCAGTGTGCTCTCACTTAGCAGAGGGACCCAGTTCAGATAAATACCTATTGACAAGGTTTTGTTGCAATACGGCAGTGCAGTGCAGGGTAAGTTTATACTTGGTTAACAACATTGCTAATTGCTATTTGCACAGTCCAAGGCAATATAAATAGCTACATTTGATCTAAATGTCAGCACAGGCAGGGGCAGACAGAGAAATGTACCAGTACAAGTGAAGGGTGCTAATTAATACCAGAGTTTACCTCAGTTTCAAGGTTTCACTTACAACCTTGGCTAAAAACAAGTCTCTTCCCAATGCTTTGCTGTCCATTGGAGCTACATTCTCACCCTTGTTGAAGAGAATCCTTTGTGCAATCATTTTGTTTATTCATCCCAGCATGGCATGAGTAACTTGCCAGATGTCAGAGACAGCACTAGAGACAAAATAGAAGCAGTTTTCCTATTACTTTCTCCTTTCTTATCACCCTTATTGTGCTGGCACTGCAGTGCCTCGCAGAGCAAGGAGTGGTGGAAGCTGGGTCAGTGTATGTGATCTCAGTAGTGCTGCAGGGCCACAGGATGTCATGGCTGCCAAAGAAAGAATAATCTTCCCAAAGTAAACCAGTGTGAAATCACAACTGTGGGAAATGTGGTCTTAGAGTAACTGAGGCCATGATGTCTCATTAGAAACCCAGATCAATAATTCAAAGAAATGTGAGCTAGCTCATGCATTTTAATTGTGTTCCATAAGAAGAAGTTTCCTTTGCTGGAGGAACATCTGACAATGTAGTATCAGTGAGCCTGTGTGTGATCTCTGCCACAACCACATCCTGTTTCTGCCAGGTGATGCTGGCAGCAGAGGCTCTGCTATACAGAGTGCTTTGCTAGATATGGGGTAGCTGAGCAAACTCTGCTGGGACACGTGGTAAACTCCCTTCACAGGGAAAGCTGGAGGAGTGTTTCATGTCACTGTTTTCACACCAAGAAAGCTAGTGAGTCAGGTATTATTTGGACCAGAATATTCCACCTTTGGCTAACTCTTCTAATTTGGTGAGTCTCTGTTTCTTTGGGGAAGGAGCAAGTATACTCGAGTGGAATGAAGGCTTACTGGCAACAAGGATGCCTATATATAGGACCTTAGGGATTTCCCAGATTCCATGGAAACCTTAGACCTTTAGGTCAGCCTAATCCTTTACCATCCCTGCTAAGATGGCCTATTTGTTTGGGAATGATTCTGGTGAGGAACTATCCATGTGAGTGCAACTCATAAACTTCAGCCAACTCAGAGTTTTGTTGTCTTTGGACTGCTGCCATGCAAACCTCATATTCTTGTAAAATGTCTCTGAAATGATTGAACAATGAAGTATGGCAGATCTTCCCTGCCCCTTTACCTCACACAACCCAGTTACACTAGAAATGACTTCTGACCTATTTGTGCTTGTTGAAGGGGAAAAGGGAGTTGGAAGAACTGCCTGTGACAATAGTTCTGTCAATTGCTGCATCATATTTTCCTTAAACATGGTACTCACAGCAGGTGTGTGCTGAGTTGCCCTCACTGCTCCATGACAATCACAGAGGCAAGTAGCTCCAGGACTGGCTTAATCGACTGTGGAGCACTCTAGTGCTGTGCACAGAGGGTTTCCCAAACTGGAGAAACCTCAGGGGAGCAGAGAGTCACTAGGAGCCTGTGGCTAGTGCCAGAGCGGCTGATGGGACCTGAGTGTGGCCAGAAGCAATAGTGGCCAAGTCTCTCAGCCTTTCTTTTATTAAAGAAGCCCCTGGGGAGCAGCAGCAACCAGGAGTGCTACAAACAGGGTGGGCAAACAGGGCCTGGCATGACAGTTTATGCAGCAGTTTGCACAGCAGGACATGCAGGTGGACTAGCTAGGTCCTTGGGTCGCTGTTTCAGTGGAGGTAGGGGATGGAGATCCATGAGACAGCAAAGACACAAGGGTTATTGATGTGTTAGAGACCACAGAAGTGCCTGAGAATGGTTATGTAGGAATTAGTGCTTTTCCTTCCAAGAGGTGGTGGGATCAATAGCTCAACTGAAGTGTATCTACACAAGTGCATGCAGCATGGGTAACAAGCAGGAGGAGCTGGAAGTCATCTTCTGGAGGTATTTAAAAGGTGTATAGATGTGACACTTAGGGATATGGTTCAGTGGTGAGCTTGGCAGTGCTGGGGTAACGGTTGGACTCATTGATCTTAAAGGTATTTTTCAACCTAAATGATTCATTACTGAAGAGATGAACATTTCACCCCTCAAGTCTTGATGTAAATAAAATTATGTCACTACCAGTTTTCTAGGCTGTTGGACTATCTCAAATGCCATTAAATCACTTGTATCATATAGTGAGGTCTCTACTTCACCATTTCCCAACCTAGCATGTTCACACAGTGAACCTAAAAGTATCTCCTTTAAACCCTCTCAATGCTTTCCCCTGCAGCAGCAAGACATACTTATGTAGCTCTTTACTGTTCTTGAATTGCATTTCTGTCAGGGCAATTCTAAGGTCTATGGCCAAGTGCACAGCTTTATATTGTTAACAGTTTGACAAGAGGGTGATTCATGTGCAACAGCCTTTAATGTTTGAGATTTTGCTGCTGTGGTTATTATTAGGAGAGCAATTCAGGTTAAGTTACTCCAGGAGCACTGGAGCTAAGGAAGGCTCTTTTCTGATGGCTTTGTACCCAGTGTTTGTGGTGGCTGCTGTAGCACCAAAGCTGTTAGAGAAAGAAATACAGAGTAACACTTTTCAGAAGAGTAGCGTAGTAATCATGTAAAAGAACATCTGGAGACTGTGGGATGGGCACAGACGGATGGATGGATTACAGCATGCAACACTTTCAGTCAGTGGCAGTCTTGGGAACAGAATTTGCAACCACCAGGTCTTTGCAGGAGCTGAGAAGCTTTCTGCTTTGGGAACGGTGGGAGGCTTAAGCATATGACTCCTGTGTTCCACATAGGAAATCCCAGAGATGTCCTTGGCCACGGGTACTAAGAGGCAAGTGTGAACAAAGCTCTAAAGCATGAGTACTGAGTCTGACAGAATGCTGGATGTTTGGTTAAATTCCTTCTTATTTTCACATGGACAACTTGTGGCTGGAAAAAGAATACAGATAAAAACAACACCATCAAGTTAAAATATTTCTGTGTATCATTGCAAAGGTCATAGCTGTACACATCAAAGGTATGCACAGTTTCTATGGCCACAGTGTCATGTCAATGAAAATATGAAGTTTGCATAGAAAATGATACTTGCATGTGGCTGTTTGATTGTATCTACTGTTAGCTGCCTACCTGGACAGCCAAATCTCCAATCTGATCTATTAAAGCTGATAGCCAGAGTGACAAGTATTACTTCAATCACCTTGCTTGAAGTAGATAGTGACCACCAAATATCTGTCTGATTCAAAAACTTTCTGCCACTAGTTTATGTTGTAGCCTGATGACCATTAGTGGCTTGAGCTTGCTGAGGCAAGTTAGTTCAGTTTGATAGCCAGCCTAAGCTTTTGACTCCAGAAACAAGTCGTGCATTGTCCTTATGATTTCTTTTCAGCACTGCAGGTGGTAGGGTTGCTAGAACAGTAACAATCTGCTTGTTCCCCTTTGCATCTGGTCTGTGCAGCAACTTCAATAGCTCTTAAAAGGAAAGACATATTTAACCATAGAAGTTTGATTTGTTTAGTCAACTGTAAAAGCAAGTGCTAATATTTGTAGTTATTTTTTGGACAAATAGCCTCTCAGGCCATTGACTCTGCTATTCCAATGAAGATGCATTAAAGTGACATCTCCCTCTCTCTCTTTCTATCATGAGGAGTAATCTAGTACTTCGAGCATAACCTAAACATATATTCCTGCTCAAAGGTGTGCAAATTCAGGGAAACATGGACAGAGCATGGGTTAGAGTCCCACACAGCTTGGCTCTATAAGTCATGCAAAGTACTGCAGAATCCCTTTCCACCTGTGTTTGTACAGTAGTACTGCTTAGTCATGAAGGGCATTATAATTTTTCCTGTTGTTAGATGTGGCTTCCTGTGCATAAATATCTCCATTTGAGATCAATGTGGAGGTTGAGTAATTGGACTCAGGATTCCCTGAATGTACAGGGTACAGCCAAATGCATGTGCTGGTTTTGATGCCAATAGTTGCCTACACTTTATTGGTCTCAGGTTGTGTGCTGCTCATGGCTGACCATACTCCAGTTCCTCTAGACATTACCCCCTAGTGTCCTTCTGGTGATGTGTTTTTGCTTGAGGTAGCTGTGTGCTTACAGACTCTTTTGAAACATGGACCAGAAAAAGAAGACTAGACACTTGTTCTTTTCTACTGGTAGAAATTGCTCAAACCTCTGGAGGAGCTACCCTGAAAACTTTGTCCATGAGATTATTAAACCCGACATTCTCATGATAATATGGGACAACTGATGGATTAGGTTAAAAAATTGAGAGATCTAATGCAATTTTATTTAAAATCTAACCAGTTATTTGTTCAAAAGTGAACTGGTTACATTCATGTTTCTGTGAAATAAATCAGGCATCTTCAAGACATATGTCTTCAAGTTACCTAGAAGCATTAAACTGATATTAGAAATGAAAAATCCAAAACATGGTATAAATATTTTGCTCCAATTTACTTTCATGTTTTCAGACTTCTGACATCACCCTGTTGCCTGTTTTTACAATGTATTAAAGAACTGAAGTCTAGTCACTAATTTTGTTTATTTTATAAAAGAAAGCAAACTAGAAACATTAACAGAACTTTGAAATATGCTTTCATTTTATTGTGTTTTGTTAGTTATTCTTAGGCATAAAAATTACAGCAGAAACCAAGATGATGTTTAAAATGAGCTGAAAAAAATTACAGTCCAAGATGTGTTTAGAGCTTTTAATCTTATCAACAAGGCACAATGTTTAAGTACTGAGAAATGACCTTCAGAAGGTTTTCTGTGTGTTGTCAGAGGCATAAATGGGGATATGCAAGGAATACCATTTTTTTCTTTCATGTGTGCCTTGTTGGACTGTGAGTAAACACTGTAACTCTCTACCTTTCTTGTCTTTTAGCCACATCATCAATGAGCTGATAGAGACAGAACGGGTTTATGTAGAAGAACTACAAAGTATAATAGAGGTAAGAAACTCTTCTGAAATGACTTCTGGTGCTTAACCTCTAAGTCATCACTGCAGGTACACATCCTTCATGGCCTGAGCCCTCCCACCTCTTGTTTATAACACACAGGCTGTGTCAGCAAGATAGCTCAGCCTTGGAGATGGAGAATGGGAAGCATGTTTTGAACATCTTTCCTCAGGGCTTAGAAAAAGACACACCTTCTCTGGTCCCAGCCCACAGAATGATACAAGTTGCATGGTTCTCAAAGTTACGGGCAGAGGAATAGTTAACAATGTGCCTTTTCAAAATATCACCAACAGGTCTCAGAAGCAACACCCTTGATTTCCACGGGGCCAGACACTAAATTCTGTGAATGTAGGTCTGGAAAATGCTTGAGGAAAAGGAAGGCCCTCCTCCTCATCATCTCTATTGTCCCATGTACTGCTTGAACATAGAAAAGATTATTTACAGCCATGCTGTAAATATAATTCTTGAGCTTTTGAAACTCATAGGATACCAGCATACTCTGCATGTGTGGAGTCTGAGGTTGTCATCTGTGGGAGTATGGAGGCTCAGTAGGTCTCAATGATGCTTATATTTGGGTGGGACTTGAAGAACATGTGGTTGTTTCTTTATTTGATTTGATCTGTGGGAGTTGACAGCTCTGGTAATTGATATATTACTCTTATATGAGTTTAAAATCTGCACATAGGATACCAGCATACTCTGCATGTGTGGAGTCTGAGGTTGTCATCTGTGGGAGTATGGAGGCTCAGTAGGTCTCAATGATGCTTATATTTGGGTGGGACTTGAAGAACATGTGGTTGTTTCTTTATTTGATTTGATCTGTGGGAGTTGACAGCTCTGGTAATTGATATATTACTCTTATATGAGTTTAAAATCTGCACTCAGAATGTGACAGCTCTGGTAATTGATATATTACTTTTATATGAGTAGTTATTCTGCGCTCAGAATGTTCTCTCAAAGTTTTTATTGAAGAAACACAATCCAGTTTCTACAAGAAACAAGATAATAGTCAAGCCAAATGCCACAGTTCAACAGTCAAATCCAAACTAACCCTTATGCAATAAAGCAGTGTAGCAGAAAGAGATGTCTGTCTATCTTAGCAGTTTCCATCCCTACATGACAAAAATAGCTTTTGAATCCTAAGGACATAATTTCATCTTTTTTTTTGTTAACCCAGTAATCTGTCCATTTGTGGTTAAAAATATGTTTGCACAGTTACTGGGTAAAAGCTCTGGGGAAATTCAGAAGCATCAGAAATTCATGGGAGCAACAAAGCAGCAGCATGGGAGAAGCCTTTGTGTGCTCTGTTGAGAACAAAACCACATAGACTTTTGGGCTTTTAAGTGTCTTGGAGACAGTACTTCTTCCCTGGTGAAAACAGGCTGGTTTTATTTTCCACTCTTCTCTGCAGGGGTATGCTTCAGAAATGGACAATCCCAGTTTGGTACATCTGATTCCATCTGCACTCCAGAACAAGAAGGATATTCTTTTTGGGAACCTCCCAGAAATCTATGAATTCCACAACAGGCACGTGGGAACTGGTGGTTGTCCTGTGTCCTGGGGTGCTACAGTAATTTCTACTCCCTTTGGATACTTTATCATACTCACACATACACTGGCAGGAAAAGTCATCCTCCCTCTGCCTCTGTGTGTGCCCTATAAACCCATGTATAGAGAACACCTCCGAGATCATCTATTTCACCTTTTCTGTTTGTGAAAGATTATACCCTTTTGTGCATTTACTAGTGATTTCTCCTGGCATTAACCGTTTTGAATGTCCCTCATGGTGTGTATTTTACCACCTCTCTTGGTACACTGATAGATGACACAGGACAAAATCCTGATGTTCCTTCTCTGGCAAAACTCCTGTGAAAGGAACTTTTCTTGGTTTTCAGCTTATTTGTCCTATATTTCTGTTGTCAGAAGATGTGATACATTTGATTGCACTTTTCTTAAGGAATTTTACTTTTCAGATGCTCATAAACCTTTCCACTGTGGAAAGATAATCTGGAGCCCATAATTACAGAATACCAGTTATGAACAAGATTAATTTCTTTTCAGTCAGCTTTCTAGACACAAAGCTTGGGGCTACTTCTCTAAATTTACTGCTTTTCCCAGCCTTGCTTAAGTAAAACTGGCTGTAACCAAAGTGAGAGTTAAGGAATTCTTTTGGATAAGAATTGCCTGTAAGATGTAAGAAACAGTTGAGCAAATTAAATATAAAATATCTCTCCTTTGGAAGAGTAGTTAATACATAGTAGAAAAAATGATTTTCCAGTTTATATATTATTTTGAAAAATTGTGTCTTCCATTTGGAGGAAGAAAT